ATGACGAGCAGTTTTCGCTTAATGATTTTGGAGGAGATATCGCTAGATACTGGATGTACGCTCGAGATTTAAGCGCTGGTCCCAATCTGCCTGATCTTGCCATCGCGGTGCTTGCAATTACTGCAAATACAGCAACATGTGAGCGGTACTTCAGTGAGGTCGCGCGAATCCATACACCAACTCGAAATTGCCTCAAGCCGGACAAAGCGAATAAGTCTGCTGTTATTCGACAAGCTGTTCGTGACCGCTATCGTGAACACGAAGAGAATACAGATAAGGAGATCACGGAAGAAGATAGCGACGGCAACAAATACGTGAGGCGAATTATAAAGCCCGACGAGCGTCCATTTCGACCTGACAGCTCCACTTTCTCCATCGCAATGAATCCGCTGTCTCCGAGAAACTCTACACCGCGGCAGCTTTTTTTCTCAGCGAATAGCCCGACAGGTACACAAAGGCATCCTTCTCCTACCCCAGATCGGCTTCAAACTCTTAGTCACCCTTCCACTCCAGCGTACTCACCAGCAACTTCCACTCACCCGCGAGCTACGGCACTGCCAGTCAATCTTAGCAATCCTGCTACCTTCACTGTGAACCACGAAGAATTCGAGTCGTTCGACCTGACCCGAACTTTAGATTTTTCAAGTGTTACTTCGCCACAGACTTCCGTCGCGTTGTTATCTGGGAATGATTCGATCGGTTCTGGAGAGAGCACTCGTTTCAATCGGCAACATTTCGTCGGATCACCGCACACAACCGGTCCGCTGAATAATGCTCTCGCAAACAATGACATTCTCGCTCACTGGAGGTGGCTACTTGATGGAATTCCTGATGATGATGACGTGGATATTGAATCTGGAACCAGTGAAAACGAGAATGTTGAGCACATCCGACACCAAAACGCTGGCATTGACGATCATGAAGATATGGAGATGGAACAACCGGATATAGAGATGGATGCCGCAGAAGATGCATCTCGACTTCGTTCTCGGCCGATTCCACTGCTCAACGATCCACATTTTCCCCAGGAGAAAACCGTTCCAGGCCTCCGCGGCAAGAAAGTAACTCTCAAAGAGTTGTTTTATCTCCCCCAGTGTAGCTACCATGAGGGTAAAAACTTAAGTATCAGAAGAAGCAAGTGTTCGTATCATCCATCTACAGCAGTAGTAGATACTTGTAGTGGATCACCGCTGAGTCAGACATAATGCCAACCGTTTATGATCAATTCTCAGTCCCGATTTACTCCAATACACCAAGATTTTCGGACGATAGCGAGAGCTGCGCCTCATGGAAGTACGCACCGCAAAGATTCTAGAAATCCTGCTCAATCCAGTCGATTTCTTGACAGGACCAGCGTGCAAGTTGAAGTCGCTTCATTTGAGGACGTACAAATTGTACTACAACCGCTGATAGTTGGCGTCCACGCTACTTCACAAGATCTTGAAGGAGCGCAGCAGGCAATTTACATAGTAACTCAACCCCAGCAATATCCATCGTGATTGAATCGAGACCCGACACCAAATTGACCACCCAGAAGCAATTTTAATCACCACAGTCTTCACATCCTTGCTTTCAGTTTCCAATGTCTCGAATACAAAAGTACTACCCAAAATTTGCAGCGCAATGACAGCATCAGTGCTGGTAATTGAGTACTTGCCGTCTTCCGTAGTCACTGGACAGTTTCTAGCTGCAGCTACCGCCTAAGCGTCGGTCTCCACTGGTTCAGCAACACTGAAGCAGTTTACCAAGAACGTCCGTATCTTCGCCACCGCATCGCGAGAGTGTGTTGCTTCGGTTGTCAAGCCGGAAATTGCTTCCAGAATTAGTCAAACTTCATGTGCAATCCTTGCGGATAACAGAACACAGAACCACCGCGAAACTGGTGATGCAACAGTCTTTTCCTGCTCCAAATGCTCTCGAATACTTGCTCCTTAATTTCGGAACCATCACAACTCTGGTAACCCATCGCCATCGACTATCGCTAAGAATTGGGGTACTTATCTGCGTCGTAGTGAGCAGCATCGGCTTTCTGCTAACGTAAGACACCAAACTCGTAAGCTGTAAGTAAACCTCGTCTCCCCCTAAGATTCTGATTTAAAGCTTCTGTATGAGCGAGTCAAGTTGCCGAGCAGCACAGGAGACTCGTAAAAAATTTCAGCCCTCGCAACACTTTTAAACCGACTTACCACAGCGTTAC